TCTGCCTGGCATGCTCTCTCATATCTCAAGTCTTTGTTCAAATGTCACCTCCTCAGAGAGGCATCCCCAGACCACCTATAAAAAAACAGCACCCCTCCTCCGATACTCCTTATCTCCCTTACCCTGTTTAATTTTTTATGGCATTTATCATATACTGTTTGTTTATTCATCTCCTCTGATAAAATATAGATTCCACAAGTACATGGTTTTTGTATGATTTGGTCACTAATCTTTGGCTTCCTACAAGACTGCCAGCACGTGATATACATTCAATATATACTTTTTGAATGAATTACAGCTAAACCCACTCCAGCATTTCTAGCTCCATAAGTCTTTTAGTTCCAAGACATTTTTGGCTTCTTAACTTTAGTTAGCACAAGCTACTGTTGAATCTAGGTATGTGTTAACTAATCAAACAAACCATTAGAACCAAACATATCTGCTCAAGTTAGCCCATTGAACTCAGAATTTCTGGTAAATATACTTACATCAATGAATTCAGTCACATATGAAATTCTGTTCTTTATTCCTTAATCAAACAACATCAAAATCTGTCTCCACATGTATTCCCCAGTTTTCTGCTGATATAAATGAGCAAAGTTGTGTAAAAGCTTCTCCTCTGATTTGACTTTATAATTGACATTAGAGCATGCCCTGTTACAGAGCTGGAGATGGTGGGGAGTGGGATGAAGAAGCCTAAGGAGAATTAAGGTTGCTTTCTCAGGAGAAAAAGCAACAGTGTTTTATAGCAAGAACAGCATTAGGGACCATTTAAAGGAGCAAGGGAGGCTCAGTCACATTTGAGAATTCAGGGGCCTCTGAATTCTCCAAAAACACCTAATTTCCCTCATTTCTATTCTCACTTCCTACTCTTCCTAATCAATAAACAAAAGAAATCTGGCAAAGCTATGATTCAGTAGACATTGCAACTTGGCAATATACAGAATGAAATTACAATTTGGATTCAGTCAACTTTGCTTGTTATCTCTGGGGAGAGGGAGGAGATTGGAATTGAAGGTGGTTTGTAATCTGTAATTTAAAAAATCAAAGCATTCATGGATTCTATATGATTAAAGTTAATTTCAAAATTACAATTAGAAGGAAGTATGAAAAGTATCTTTTCTTTAGGAACTCAGGTAGAGCAATGACTGTCTGCCCAGTACAGCCATACCCCTCTGAATGGCATGTACCCAGAGGCATGTTCCCAGAACTCCTTCTAAAAGTTTGCCGTTGTTATGTACCCAGTCCTATAGTATACATCTGATCCTGTCTTGCCATATTTTCCCCTGGCTGTAATCACTTCTCACCTGTATTTACCATCTCCCAAATCCTCTAATTTGACAGTAACCACTACTTCCCCAGTTGTAACTCTGGCTTCTTTAGACTACAGCCCTTCCTCTGTGGTAACATATTCATGAACCACTTTGAGTAGCAACACTTGTCTCAGATATCCTTTACAACCTAGACAAACAGATCGATCTCAGGGTAGAACCTAGACAATTGTTGAATGATATAATGTATAATAAAGAATATATAAGATGGTATAGGACAAAAGAGGAGAGGTACCAACTCCTCATAATGTCATCAGAGAAGACTTCCCAGAAGAGATAACTATTGAGGAGGAGGAGGAGGAAGATAGTACATATGTATGTTCTAGGTGCTTTACATATGTTCTCATTAAATCCTCTCAATAACTCAAACAAATTCTCTTGTTATGTCTATTTTATAATTGAAGGGACAAAAGAACAGTGAGATTAAGTGACTTTGCCCATGTTCACACAGCTTACAAATGGTGGAGCTGAAATTCAAACCTAGCAAGTCTAGCTCCTGAGTCCTTGCTCTTAATCATGGGTGAGAAGACAGAACTCAGCAGAGGTTGAAGATGGCATTCTGTCTAAACCAAGGGGACAGTATACACAAAGTAATGAAAATGTGAGAGAACATGGTTTGTTCAAGAAAACAAGGCATTCAGTATGTGGCTGGAGTGTGAATAGTGGTAGGAAAGGATAATGGAAGGGTAGGCAAAAACCAGTTCATGAAGGGGCTTATTTGCTGGATTTTAGCACATAGAAATGGGTTGTTGAAAGGTTTTAAGCAGAACAACAACATAATCAGACCATGATCAGAATAGTATATTTGAATAGTCCCTCTGGCAGTTATATGGAGTATAGATTGGAATAGATTGAAACTGGAGGCTCTGGTATTATTAGGAAGCATTTGCATTATCCTGAGAAGATGATGAGGGCTGAACCAGAGCAGCAATATTAATGATAGAAAAAGAGATGGAGTTGAATGCCACAAAATGAAACTGAAACTTTTGTATTTCAAATGTATCAACAGTATTCGAAAAGAGGAAAATAAAATAATGGTGTTCATGTGTTTTCCTCTGTCTTCCTGTTAATGAAGTAGTACTCATTAAAGTCTTCAAAGAGTCAAAGATATTGTCTGGTTCAGTAAATATTATACAACTTTTTAGACGAGAGTAAGTAGACAATTATTATTTCACAAACAATAATATTTAATGTTTCCACAGTGAAGAAATAAATAAATATGAAGATTAAATCTTTTATTTTACAAGGATTTTAAGACATGAAACAAACTTATTTATACATAAAGGAAAATTAGAATTATAAACAAGAGCTTATCATGATGACATTACCCATCACTTTTACCTTTAAAACCTGTGCTTGGGTAGCCATCTAAAAATAAGGACCAGCATATTTTATTACTAGAATATCTTTTATGTTTTGTATATTTAAGCTCTTTATTTATTAGAAGGTGTGTCATTAAAAATTCATTTAGAGCATTATTGCTTATCAGAAAAATTTAATTTTTTTTCTCAGCGATGAATGAATCAGTTCCACTTGGAATTTCTAAGGACTCAGTTTTAGTCAGTATTTTCGAAGAATGATAAAGCTCAGAAATAAAATCTTAATTAATATAACAAACATTGGCCATTGAAATGGAGCCAAGACAAGACTCTGAAATAATATACTTGTTAATAGTCAACCCACATTTATGAATATTGGCATATATTAGTAAATAGTTATCTTAAAGCAAAAGATTCTCTTATATATAATCTATTTCCATCAACATCCTAAAAATTATAAAAATCTAAATTATGTTTAATAATAAGTGACATGAAATGATTTTCAAAAAGGAATTTTTGTTACAAAATTTTTTATTAGAAAATGCCATAAAAGCATAATAAAATATAATATTTTAAGCCTTTAAAATAAGATATAAGGATGAGCTTTTGAGTATTTACATGGATTAATGAATTATATGCCAAATGCTCCTGAAATGATACCTAGTTCCCATTAAACCTGTGCACACTCACTATATGAGCTATTTTTCTTTAGAATTGAATTCTGTGAGAAGTCTTTTTTGATCACAGAAATTTACTTAAATTTATACATATATTAATAATTATATATGGTAAATTAAAATGCCCTTATCTGCAATACATACATTGTATAATATCAAAGTATTCTTAGTCTTAAAAAAGAAAACAGGAGAGAGAAATAAAGAGTAGATCAGTTGCAACATTTACGTTTGGTATCCTACTGACTAGATATGCAGCCTTTGAAATCTACAATGATATTTTACGCTTTGGACCTCAGTTAATTCTATTTGCATTTCTCTTTAACATTTGAAAATTATTCACGATAACTTAATTTTCGTTATGTTTACCTGCAAACTTTATATATTTTTGAAAAAATATTTTGCTGCTCTTTGATTAGAATGTTCTGTAATTATTAACTTGTTACCTAAAGTAGCTATCTCTATAATCATTTTCAAGTAATGTGTAAAGATGCATCTTTGTGAATATATTTTGAAAACTTGGTTACTATAATAGAAATAGACACTAGAAATTAAAAATTGAATGAATTGTTATGATTCATATACAGTATGGTGTGTTATTTAAAATTTCATTCTAGAGCATTTTTTAACATGCAGCAGAATACTGCTGTTCTCTGAAATGATCCCTTTTTACAATCATAAAATTTTATGTATTATTTCTTATAATCTTTTGAATATGATACTTGCATTCCAGAATGAATTAATGAATTATAAAAGGTCCAGATACTTTCATTTGGTTAAAAAAATAAACACCTGTGTTTGAATCTTTAGAGAGTAAAATAAGCAATATATGGGTTAGGGTTAAAATATATAATATTTGAACAACTGTTTTATATATTTCAAAATTCATATGCTTTTCATAAATAGATTTATCTATTTGTCCTATAAAACAGCTTTAAAATTACTATTGCTTTGACCTTCAAAATTATAGTATACAAATAAATGCTTCATTCCCCACCCACGCCTACCTCTCCAAAAGGAAGCTTACCAGTAGTCTCGTACAGTAGTGAGCAATGTTAAATTAAAAAGTATTGGGCATACGGAGCAAAGGAAGATAATTTTTATGTTAAAGCAGTTTTCACCATCAAACATCAAAAGAGTTATAAACTGTGAATGAACTACCTTTAAACCATGGTCTTTATTAATTAATTTAATTTTCTGAATGCTTTTAGAAGTGACTATGTTACCACATTTTAAAATATTTTAAATGACAAATATTTTACATTTCATGAATAGTACCTAAACAGGTTTGATTATATACATTTTCCTTTGCCTGGGAACTAAAATGCTGTAAGGTCTTCCTGGACCAAAGTAAATGCCATAAATTGATAAGTTTATCTCAGAAAAGGATTGGGGTATTTAGAGACAAATTAATAATCAAATAACTATTTGTCACCCAAAAAAAGTGATATACCTTCAGATGTGTTTAAGTCACAGCCAAAATACAGATTACTTGTGTAAAATCTAGTCTGCTGAATAAACAATTATTTTTTAAGTTATAGCAAGTAATACAGTAATAGAAACCTTTTCAATTAATAGAAATTAAGATAATTATAAAGCTAATATGTAATTCTCAATAGTTGCAACTGCTTGCAAGTGTTCATTTGGATAACAGCGAAACAGCAACAAAGGACTCCTTTAAAATGTATATTTTTCAGTTTTATTTCAAATGTTGTGTAGCATAAGAACCCTTGCTCAGAGATAATTTTTTAGCCATGGAAAAGTAGTACAAAATATGTCCCAAAGTACTGAAGGAATTAATTGTTCTATTAGGTAATAATTACTCAGAGGAATGAGCATTAGTGATTTATGGCTTAAAGTGCTTGGGTCTAATCATCATTTTGGCCTGTTTGAGGGAGGACTTGTAGCCACTAGGATGTGCCTCACTCACACCAGGCCAGGTGCCCCAGAAAATCCCATTACGGATACCTCTGTATTTTTGGTGATAATATTTGCCATTTAAGTTTGCAGAAAGACATGCATCAAACCACCAACCCGAACTGTAGTAGAGGCCACAGTTCCCAGAAGGATATCGGTCATTGTCTCTATCTGGGGTGGTGAAAAACTTCATATCATGGTTATAGTATTTACTGAAACGTAAGGCATCTCCAGCTGTGCCATTATAGTTACCAATATGTAAACGGTATCTGAGAAACTCATTGGCCACGTAAAACTGATCATACAAGGCATAGAGTTTGACACCATTAAAGTCTTCAAGATCTATTCTTAGAATCATTTCCTTACTTTTGGTCAGAAGATGAATTTTATCATTCCCCAGCCAAAATTCTCTTCTGAGGTTTCCAAAGCCTACTTTGTAGTCTTTCCATGTTTTGGTGAAGTTGGTGCTTCCATCGAGACGTGCCTGCAGCACTGTCCAGCCTCCCCCCATGGTCTCCATGTCACAGTAAACTTCAAAGCTACTATTTTTGGGATCCGGTGTAACTCTGTAGGTCTCACTGCTTCTTTTGCCTATTACGTAGTAGTCAGAGCAGTCTTGATATATTAGATGATGAACTGAAGGGGGAAGAAAAGAAAGCATTGGATTTTGTTAATAAAAACTATATGTCTAAAGAATTCTTTGCAGGTACAAAAGCAGTATGACAATTCCATCAATGGTGATAATGACACCTTGTTCTGCTAAACTTACTTGAACCTATTTAGCAAATGCTAGTTAAGGCCTCAGAACAAGAACCTGGTGTTACAAAGCAGACAAGTCTCTCCAACATACTCTTGGTTGATAATAATATTGACAACATCGACAACAAACAAGAAGAAGAAATAAAAATAATAGTTTTAGTAATTTAGTAATATTTAGTGAGGGTTCTCCATGTGTTCTAGGCATTCTGCCAAAGGCTGATAATATTTTCACACTTAATCTGCACATGAATCTTATGATGTAGATATTATTGCCAATCTCCTGGTGATAATATTTAGGTTTAAAGAGGATCAGTGGCTTGCCCAAGTTCACGGAAGCATGAAATGGCAGAGCTAGGACTCAGATCTGGCTGGCTGCAAAGCTTGTTCTTATACCCACTTCATCCCTTGGATCCTGAAAGTCTGATGATTTCAACTCTCCTATCCTACGTATACAGACAAACATAGGCTTCTATTTCCTTTCTCCTAAAGGAGCTAACAGTCTCCACTGTCAAAAAGTTTTATAGAATATGTTCCAAGTGATATGCCAGAATTCTAATATACAGCATCAATTGTACATTCATTTATTTTCCTTGTTTGACAAGTAAATCAAGAAACCCAAGTAAAAAGAACTTTTTTTAATAATGTACTAATAGTCTCATTTTGAATTTAATATCCAGGAAAGCATTTAGCCAGATTTCACATGTTTGGTTTCTAGAAAAAAAAATGACAGGTGATTGTGTTCAGGATAATAATCAGCTAATGTAGTTCTGTAGGAATCAAATATAGATATTTACTCCCAGATAATTTTTATAAAAATTTATGCCAGATAAGGTAAGTTTAACATAAGCTACTTTGAGGCACAAAATAAAAATCTATTCATATGTATTTAGAGTTCAAAATATTCAGGTATTTTAGTAGAAAAGTAGCTAAGAGAATCTAATGTGTGCCCAAGGATGTCACCTATGATGTGAACATCTGCCTTGCAATGTGTGGGGTACCTTTAGATACAGGCTGCCAGGAGTATTAGCAACAGTAATTCTTGAGACCCCCACATACTTTCACCAGCTGATGCCCTGGAGATGGAGCATGGTTCAAATGAATGTGACCTCTGCCCCAGGCACCATATCCCGTCAACCTCAGGCAGATAAGGCTTTCCAAAATGTCACAAGACTATCAGCAGCAGTGGTCCCAGGAAATCAGTTGGAAAGTCAGGGCTTGAAGGAATCAGTGGCACAGCTGGTTCATGGGCAGAGTGGGCAGTTAGGTTTGTTGTCTTTAACATATATTTATTAAAGTTAATTCAGGTAGTCTGGATGGTGAGGATGGGTTCTATTTTTATATGTTTGAGTTCTAGTTTAAGGTAAAAGAGGGAAAGAAATAAAAATGTATTCCTTCACTTAGGGGCATGCCAAAGCTCCCCTTAAAATGTTTTTGTGCCACTAGGTCTCAAAGCAAAAAGTTTTGCATACACGTGAAACCATATAACTGCTTTTATTCCACCTATAAAATCTCCAATTTTCACTAGATATTCACTAGATATTTGGGATTATGAACTACTTGCTAAAATCTTTCAAAGATCTCTTGTTGACACGTGAGAAGGAGTAGTCAGCAGACCACAAGAAACTGATTTTCAATAAACAGAGCACAACCACAAACACTACTTTATCTCCATTGTTTTCGAACACTTCAGTGAAGAGATAAGTTAAATGTACTAAAACATTAAAAAATTCTTTCTCTCTGCTTCTGTTTGTGTGTAGCTCTGGCATCAGCAAAGATCTTTGAACTTAAAAGTGCTTTCTAATGGATACAGAACTAATTATGATTTTTGTAATTAGGGTTCTATATCATGTCTGTGGTCACATTTACAAAGATATTAGTTTTTCCTGTGCTGCCTTGATGAATAAAAGGCTTAATTTCTTTAATCTATCATTTATGTAACTTATTTTCTCAGGTTAATGTTTATAAATATTGTCTAGCTATACAACATTCATGAAGAAATGATAAGAAAATGTTATTATACATACCTGGACTTGATTGTGTTTGTCCTTGACTGGGACAGTTAGAGGAACATTTGCCATCCAAACTGTTGACAACAAATGTTAGATTTGCCACTTTGTTATCAACATAATTTTCTATGTTGTTCATATTTACAAGATTCAGCTTCTCCAGGCGACCCTGAAGCACATCGATCTCCTTCTTTGCATTCTTTAGGTCAGAGGACAGCTTGTTAACCTCTCCTTCTAATTCAGTAACTCTGTTGTCATCCAGGGCTCCTGTGCCAGGTGAAAACAGTCCATTTCTGCTCTGGTCTCGATTGTCATCAGCCTGAAGTTTGCAATCTTGGCAACATTTTTTCAGACTATTTACAATTTCCTTTAGGTTCTGGACTTCTTTGAACACCTCCTCGATCCTGCCGAACTGCTTCGGGAGTTGAATAGCCAGTGGGGGCAGGTTCACATGGTAGGGGCATTCGCCTCCCTCTTCGCATTTCCCTCTGCTCTCGAGTCTCACTGGGCAGGCGTCCTTGGCTGTTTCATCTTTAATCTCTTCTGTTTCATTGTTTGCTGCAACCAAAAAGCCAAAAGCAGCAAGGACAGCTGAGCTTAGCCAGCAACAGGTCGCTAGCTTCATCTTTGCTGTGGTGCTTGCCCCAGCAGGGAAGTGTGCAGGGCTGGAGCTGTTTTAATAGCGGCAGCTGCCTGCCTGAGTCAGGCTTTCTGTCTTCTCAGAAAAGGGCGGGAGCACTTGCATCATAAGTTTCAGAAACTCAGAGAAGAGGAGATTGTCCTCATCAAACAGTTTGCCAAAAACTGTTACTTATTCTCCAACAAAATTATGCTGATCAGAATTACAATTAGTTGATCGGATGCACATATTGAACAAGTTTCACTTTCATCTTTTATTTTGTAAAACACAAGAAACATCTTGGATTTCAAAATAATTATGCTCGAAAAAATCATTTAATTGTACTTAACTCCACTTAAAAAAAAAAAAAAAAGCTTTTTAAAGATAAAAATTAAATGCTAGTTATCCAGACTGTATGAAGAACAGAAGAAATGTTACAAAAATGGAAACGGTCTTTCGGGGGACATTGAAGATCCTGTATTTTCTTCACGTTGGACATTCAGGTGAAATCTTAAGCACTTAAAAATACTTTTTTTTTTTTAACTTAACAAAGTGCAGCTTTCTGGTTCATGCCATCAACTATTTAAAAAGGGGAAAGAAAACTAGTAGAGAAAAAAAAAGGGGGCTGCTTTTTTTTTTTTTTTACCATAACATGGTGTAGTAGAAATGACTAAAACAACTAAAAGTACATCATTGTCTTTTATCAAAACCAGCAGTCTTCTCCTTTGACCCTCACCGTTTTTGTGATTATACTGTCATCTTCCACAGCTGCCCAAGTGTAATTCTTTGAACTATTCCTGGCTCTGTTCTGATTCTTCTTATCTCCAAGCATCTTTGCCTTCCCCACCACTGGCAGCCCTAACAGTCCTGCCTCTGTGCGTTCTGCCTCTATAGTGGGTTGCTCTACCTGGTCTTTGTGCCTCTGGGTGTATCACTACCTTGCCCAAAATATGCCAGCACTCATGACTTTTTCTCGGTTTCAAAATTTTTCAGGTTTAACACTTCTCTCCTCAGAGACTGAGAACAGGAAGGGGGAACAGCTTCATTTGGAGAAACTACCTCCTTTTAATTTGTTTTGCATATTGGCATCTCATATAAGATTTCTTAATAAAATGAGGATTTTATTGCTTTAGAAATAATTTCAAAATGGCCAACATAGATAAAAATCCAAATTCTTTATTGTATTATTTAAGGTACTCTGTAATCTATCTCATATTTATTTCTTTAACCTGATTTCTTATGACTCCTCCTATAGACTCCCTTTATGCCAGCCAAACTATCCTATTCATTTTCTCTAAATGTGTCAGACTCACTTTACACTTCTTCAATTGTATTTACTCCTGAATACTCAGGAGACCTGGATTCTGCCCCCTGGATCTACCTTACTGGATAGATAGATCATTAACTTTACTGAGCCTTGGTTCTTGGAACTGTGAAGGAGGAATTTGGCTATTCTTCCCTCATACAGGAATGATAATTATAAAAACTTTGAGTTGAATGTTTCAGGAAAAATATGAGTGTATTCCAAAAAAAGTTGTCAAACGTGTTCTACACACCCTATCTCTCATTTTCCTCCATCTTCTTCCAGTTTCTTTAAAATTAAGTTGTTTTTCTCTTCATTCTATTCAATCTATTCAAACCAATTTTAGACAAAAATTTTAACTTATAACTAAAAATATCTATTTAATCTCCTAATTTCTTTTCTTTCTCCTTACCTGCTTTCAAGCTGTGACACTACCCTGTTGCAAGGAGGATACAGATAATATATTAAAATATTTTATAAAGTAGAAATATGTAGTAATAATGTTTATTATTACTAAATAATAAATTATTAAATGCCCTTGACTGGCTAGGATGTAAATCCATATACTTAGCCAATCAAATATTTATTAAGGATCTTCTGTGTACTCTCGGCCCTATGTTAGAGTGTATAGTGAATGTCATGGCCTTTTTCATTTGTTTATTCATTCATTCATCCATCCATCCATTCATCATATATTAACTGAGCACCCTCTACATGCAAGACACTATTCCAGGCACTTAGGCTACACTAGTGAACAAATGAAACAAAAATCCCTTTTTACTTCTTGGGAAGGAGTATTGAAGACCTTGTATTTTCTTTATATAGGATTTTCAAGTAAATTATAAGCACTTCTTTTAAAAATTTCTAAATCTATCAAAAGTACAGTTTTCTGACTCTTGCAATGGGCTTTATTTCATCTGTTTGTATCAGGGATTTGCTTTCCTAGCACAGCTGCTGATTCTTATGCCCAGAATACCCCACTTAGCCAAGGGGGTACTGTTCCACCTAAAAAGCTTAGATGTGCTCCGGGAACTGGCTTTTGTCCCTTCAGGATCCATTAAAAAGTTTCCCAAACAAAATCAGAGAACTATTTCATTAATCAGTTTTATTAACACTTCTAGGGCATCTGCTGGGTTCTCAATTTTAAAAATCATTGGCCACTTACTATAGGCAGACACTAAGTGACTACCACGTGAAAGAGGCTCAGCCTGCCTCATGAATTTATAAACCAGGGGGCCAAAGAGCGTGGTGCTACAATTATGCAAGAAACTTTTACAAATACTATCTCACTACATCCTCTCACCTGTATAATTACTATCTGCACTTGCAAAGATAGGGCTCAAAACAATAAATGTCTTGCCTATGGTTTTACAGTTTTTAAGAGACAGAGCTGGAATTTGAACCTGGATCTGACTCCAAAGTTCATGTCTTTTCTCTTATGCCACATTGCCACGTAAGGGGAAAGATAATACTGGAAAAGCATATTGGTACCATGTTGTGGAGAACCTGGTGCTTAATCACTGCTTTGGTCAGTAGGGAGCCACCGAAGTTTCTGATCAAAGGAATAATAAAATTAGTTAAGCAGTTCAGAGAAATTAATCTATCAATGAAATGCTATATGTATTGGAAAGGGAAAGATTAAGTAAAAAGAACAGTTTAGAAGCCACTTAAATAGTCCAAGCCATTGTTTCCCAAAGTATGTTTTCTGGAACATGAGTGACTAGATGTTGATGAATGTTATATGGAAATAGAATTCCAGGACTAGCAGCTCTGAAAAATATCAGTCTTATGCTAATGTGTATTATGGCTGGCCAATGGGAAAGTGATGTATACAGCATTTTTTTAACATTAGTTAACAATAGGAACCTTTTACTTTCTAGGACCATTTTCAGGAATGAGTCTTCTGCTAGAAACCAACAGGACTGGTGTCCTGGATGAGAGATATTAGTGTGACGGAAGGCACTAAGTAAGCAGTGAACCAGAGTGGTGACAGGAGTGGTGGTAATGGGGTTGCAGACATTGCTATAAGGAATGACATAAGCCATAGGATCTGATAAGTGATAAAAACAGATGAAGTGGGAGAGTGAGGGAAAACTATGAAATATGACTGGTTGAAGTAATGGCATGGCAATGAGAGTAGAGAAGGAACAGTCTGTTGAGGAGTATGGAGTTCCACCCTCTGACCTTGACCTTTGCTTCCTTCCTCTTGTTGGAAAGTCTTTCTGGATTTTCTCATCATGCCCAGCCTTCCTTGACTCCTTGTTATCATCTACTGAGTCCTCATGATAGTGTCAGAATCTTCCCTTCTACTACAAATCTGCCCCAAACACAGAACTGATACCTTATACCCATTTACAGATTTGTTTTTCAGATCTAAACAAATTATTTAACACCCATATTTGGTGGAATTTTGAAGTAGCAAAATTTGATTCTATAAGCCACATATGAAAATTACTTTCATCAGTCTATATTCACATTCATAACAAATTCAAACTTCTTTATTATTTTTTCTTATGCAAAGTATATTGAAGGGAGGATTTGCACTTAGTTTTTTGGGGTCAGATTCCAAAGCAAATTTTCATTTCCTCTAATATACATTTTTTTTTAAAGAAACACTTTATGTCTCTATTTATACCAAAGGAAGTTAGTAAATTTAATGACCATCATTAGTTATAGTACTGAGATCCTTTCACTGATATTATGTTTATTAATTAACATATTTGTAGTTTTGATTTATTAAGTTCAAAAAGCTTTAATTATTCTCCAGGGAATGCATGTTTTGTGATAAAAAATTTTAAACATTCGCTTTTTAGGCTACTTGATTTGAAATGTCAATAGTAAATAATGTTTGCTTTAATATTCCTTAGAGACCTTAGTCCTTGTTCATTATAAATTTCATAAAAAGAATTTTAAACAAAATCTTGAACTTTAAACAAAAACACAACCCATAGAGAGATCAAGAATTGCCTGGTTTGGGTTAAAATAGGATAGCTGGGCAAATTCTTTGGTCTGTCTTACCAGTACCTCACTGTAGAATAAATGAAGAGATTCAGACTAGAAATCTCTCCAGTATGGACCTACCATGAAAGATACATTATGTGAATACATTATGTGAACATTAAGCATTCTGGTTCAATAAGAGTATAGGGTAGAAACATCGAAAGGTCTACTTTTTATGACTACAGAACATATAGTTGTCTGATGTGCAAATGGCCTAGGTCTCAGTGGGGTATTTGGGTTTCTCAGGTTAGAATTTTATGAAACTGGAATATTCCATGGGAGTTTTGGAAGGTCCATCAATCAATACCTATCAACAAAATCTCTTTCTATTATGTACCCCACACTAAACCAGGAATCGTGGAAGATCCAAGAAATCCATGGAGCATGACATCTAATTTAATTCTCATCTCTCTAATTTCCAGACTTATAAAATTTCATACAACCAATGTTGAGGAAACAAAATGTATTTATTTATTGGAGATTGATTAAGTTTTCTTTCATATTCCTGAGACAAAATAAACAATAAAACCATGGTAAAAAAAAAAAATCATGGAAATCAAATTGTGGCTTTCTGCACCTTCTCTTTGTTTCTCATTTTTTGTGGTACTTACATTCTGTAAAATCATCATAAACATCAAATTAGCAAATACTGACCATTGCTCCTAGAGGACGTGCTAGATTAAGTTTCTGCAAGCCTCTGGTCATAATGTTTTTGTCAACAGATCAATACATAACCTTGTTTTAAATATGTTT